GTTGGCCTTGGCAATGAAAAAAACAAGTTTTTTCGCGCAACCTTGACGTCTTGTGTTTCGTTTTTGCTTAACCGCCGGTACATTTGCAGCGTTGAATAATAAAATTATGTATATTAAGTGGTTATTTTGTTGCATTACATAATTAGGTAAATAATCTTTCACGATAGTATGACTACAATGGGATAGGCAGACATGTTCATGGCGTATAAACATTTGTATATTATGTTAGGTCTTTGTTTAAACAAATTCACGCCCTGCCCATCAGTCTAGATTTACGAAATGCCAACTGTTTCCTATATGGTAGTGATTTTTTCTCTTTTTTAATGGTTCTTCATATGTTTTTTACTTCAATTTTGGATCTGTCGAATAAGTCTGATTTTAAAGAACTTCATTGAATGGACTAATAATATTATAACATAAAGTCTTCACCGAATATTGAAGCAATTGATATAATTGTCTTTTGCCTCGAAATCCCCGGTGCGACGCGAAACATTAAAGTTGCCATTTTGTCGTGTTTTAGTATTTTATTAAATGTTTAGAATCCCGCCGTCACGAAATGTCGCTCGAGCGGTTCGCAAATTGAACTATAGCAAATTGGATTTTGATTCGTGTAATGAGATGAGTTTATAACACGCTTTATTCCTCGATCAACACGATTTGAACTCGACGCGTGTTTTTCTTGAATGTTGCAATATTTTAGTAAATCTACAACCGGTTTTTGTTTAGTATATTTCGGAATAGCTTTTACGAATTGAATGTCGTATGTCTCGTTTCTTTTGTTTTCTTAGGTTACTTTTGGGATTTTGTTTATTAAATTGCGATTTCTGGACCAAAAACATTGTGTTTGATATTTTGTTGATGTTTTACACTTTAAAATAATATAGGTAAACGTGTTTCTTTTGAGATCTTAATCTTTTCGAGCTTTTATCTTTTTAACGTTATCTTATATTACTTTAATGCACCGACTATAACCTTGAAGTAAAATCAGATAAAATATCCGCGAGATAGTGAAATATACAAGCTAGATATACGGATATGACAAAACTTTATTTTACACTACCTTTCGCCAGCGAGTCCATTCGCGTGGAATAAAAAAAAACAAAAGTTGGAAGCCTATGGGTTTTTCCTGACTATCTTCTACATCTATACCAAATTTAATCAGAATCTTTTAAGCCGTTTAGGCTACAAACTCTAACAAACATCCATCTAACCATTTAAACTTTCGCTTTTATAATATTAGTATGATACCAGCCTTGTCCGCAACTCTGTCCGAATAAAATAGTAAGAAGCCTTTGTGGTCTTCCCGACTATCCTCTACATATGTGCTAATTTTTATCGAGACACGTTCAGCAGTTTAGGATACAAACTAACAAACATCCATCCATCGATCTAAAATTTCTCATTTATAACATTCGTAAGAAGTAAGATAAGATGTTAATTAACGTATATTTACATAATATCTAAATGTTCGTTTTTAAATATTTTTTTAATGTTCTCGTTTTAATCAGTTTTGTTTTTTGCAGAGCCGGCGCTGGCGCAAATGGCATATTCTCCAGGCGACTTGATTTTTCAACCTTCAATCTTTTGCCGAAGCATAAAGTCAACTCTTATCAAATTAAGGTAAGTGCTTATTTTAACCGCTAGCTTATATGACTATTATTGTTATCTCATTCTTTCTTAAATACAATGATAAGGATGGCATTGCACAGGCTACCACGGTGGAGATTCACCATTACTTACGTCACATACATTTTAATTATATGTTACGTAACATTTTTTTGTTTTTCAAAGTTACGTAACATGTTTTAATGGTAGCAGACGTACAACAGACGTTTACGATTTAACTACATTTCAGTCTCACGGCTTTAACCATTGTTTTACGAAATTGCTTTTTATTTTTTACTTTTTATTATCGTTTTGTTTGATATTTTTATTGATAATGGATTCTATGTTGTTTTTTTGTTATTTAATGTATTCTATTTGATTTTTTTTATTGCGTATCTCTAATATGATTTGCAAATGTATTTTTTTAAATTTTGTTTTTAAAACCACAGATGAAATAATGTCATTTAGTATTTTCTAAATTGTTGATTTCGGCCAGTCATCTGTTTTTTATTTGACCAGAAAAGACCAAAAAAGTTAAGGACATTTCTGGTCTGAAGCAAATATTACTTATTCCTCTGAGAGTTTACGATTCGAACACAGGACTTTATCGTGCGCTTTCCTGTTCAGCCCACGGCCGCATTGTCCGTCGTACTTTAGCCTGATTTAAGTCCCAGGGCACACATAAACCTATTGTAATACTATGGATCGATCATAATGTCAAACCGGAGGTAAAATACAATGACTGTTAATGACGTAGAGATTTTCTCTTCAAATGACATTATGACTACGGGAATTTGTAGAAAGTTTTGCATTTGTCTTTTAGATGAAAGAATTATTTTAAGCTTTTGCGTTTTTAATTTAAATGAAGTAGACGGTTTTTTAAGGACGATTTATCAGCTTTGCGCCTTTACTTGATTGTTTTTATATCTTTTTTTAACTTTATTGTATACTCTTAGTTGCTACCTTTCTTGGTCTTTTCAATCCACAGGTTACAGTTATCAGATATACTGCGATTAAT